CTATAAAGATAAGAAAAATATATTTCCTAAGTCCAGCAGTTTTCAAACAATATATTTTCAAGTTACAGGAATGCTCACCATGAGGAATTTAAAATTGAGGTGAGAAGGGGGGACACAACATTTCTTCTAAAATCTTAATGAGCTACTGCCTTATAAAGTGAAAATAATCAACAAATCTGACATATGAACAAACATTATGAATATTCACAAAGTTTAAGCCGCTGATTCAACATTTTCTAAGAGTGTACAACTTTGGAACTGGTCACATAAGCTATTATTTTTCTTTTCATCATAAGTACACTCTACTGTGGTGTCAGTGTGTTGTTGTAACATATGCATTGAATTGCAAGTATTGTAATTCATCCAGATGGCAGGAAGCTTTGGAATTGTTACTCCTATGGTACAGATGTTTAACAATCTAGCCATATGGCTCCAATAAGGCAGCCTTTTCAAAGATTACAAAAACAACAGTAGATATGCAGCCTTGTAAATTTGAGTGCAATCCTGAGGTACGAATGTTCATATTGCTACAATATAAAAGCATACATCATGTCTATGAAGTTGGCATGTCTATTGGAATTACAGAATTTATGAAACATTATTTAAAATCCTGAAAAGAATCAGGTCCCAAATTTGCATAATTTCACCAAGGCAGCTATTAAAAGAACATTGCTAATTTGGTTTTGAAATTCATTAAAGGCGTCAGACATAGGCTAGCTGAAAAGATGGGTAAATAACTACATGCAAATATAATAATGTCCCTAACCTCTGGCCTGAGTGAACTACCACTCTAGATGACAAATTGAGATTCAACCAGTGAGACCAAGAATTTCTTTATAAAAAGATTTGTCAAAGTCAAGGAGCCCTGATGATCGTTGTGGCAATTGTAATGTGGAAAGCTGAATGTTTAGAAACAACCTGAGATCAATATCTTGGCCAAGAAAGGAAAGAACCATGAAATGGTCAATCTATAACTCTACTGAATTTTGGCAGGTTTGAATGACAGATAAATGGCAGCATGTAAGATTGTTAAATCACTAATCCTGTCATTATTACATCCTGTCACATTGCATAGATTTATACATTAGAAAAAGAGTGTAAGGTATGAGAGTGAAAAATAAAACTGTTAAAAGCTAAAATATCTCAATCTATGAAGAAAGGGTGAATTCCCAACTTTGTGTTTCATGGTTGTTTTTTTCTGCCAAAAAGTCAGATATAAGTAGATGCTGTTTGTTATCCCATCTTCCTTTTCTCTGATGCTTGGGTCTCTGACCCTTTGTTACCTAGAAGAAACGTCTCTTTTATATAAATCTGTAGCGCAAGAATAAGATTAAAATGGACAGACTGAGCAAAGCATTGGTGTCTCAGACAAAAATGTATCCATTTAGTACACAGGGGATCTTTCCACCTGACATATTCTTAAAGGGAAGTATTCAATTACCATCTACTCAGAGAGTAAAAATCACAAAAGAGCCATGTAATATTCCTTTTCTTTTTTTTTTTTTTCTGAGCAGCAAAGTATTCAGAGATGCTTTATCTACCACAGATACTAATCTAAGCGATATAATTTTAAAACATCCTTACGAAAGCCTTGAAGGGCAGTTGAACCCTGTGGTTGTTTAAAAAAAGATTTTCTGCAGTTTATGCATTTGCTCTGCCAAAAGCTTACCTTAGCATACAAAGTATAGTAAATCATAGTTGCTCTGATTTACTACCCAGACTATGCTGTTTGTTTTCAGGGACAGCTCAGTGAAAAGCTATGTCGTGTATAAGAACATTCAGAGAAGGGGAAGCATTTTGCAAAACTACCAGAACGGTAGCAACCATTTCTAAGACATCAATGGAAAAAAAATGCAGATGTGCATTTGCAGCATTTTTCAGGTGGTATTTTTTGAATACCATTACAACCCAAAAATATTCCAAGCCCTTTATAGGCACAAAGACAATTTCATACCCCAAAACTGTTTAGCCTAAGTACTAGTGGGCTGGCCAGATGTATAACTTACGAGCCAACAATTTAAATTATTTGACCTTGTGCCTGAATTCCACATTTTATGGGGCAGTAGCATATATAGATCTCAAAAAGGCAAAAAAAACATCAGAGAAAGAGTGGCAGAGCAAGAAGCTGTGGGTCAGCCTGATTATTTAGAACTGAGGGTGGATTTTATTAGACCTAATCCATTTAGTAAGTCCCAACAGGAGGACAAATATAAAAACATATATCTGACATTTCCTTAAAAATAGTAAATGAGAAGGGAAAAGATCAAAACAGTAGCTGAAAGCCTTCATTCCTGCTTTAAAATCCAAGAAACAGTCATTAATAGAGATTTAAACTCAGCCTTCTCTAGTCTAAACATGTCACTGTTAATTACAAAGCTATTTAACTTTTGCAAGAAATGAAGACTGCTATTAATGAAAGAAGAACCAATTAGCCTTTAATCTACACACTGTTTTTTAATCAAACTTTCTTCTGATCATCAGACTCACTGCGGGATGTATTCTCTCCTCCCCATGTTGTAGTGGCTTCCATGATTGCTAATGGAATAGATTTTAAAGGGCTGGCTGAGTGGGAAGAACCTTCTCTGCAGGGCTGGAGCTTCCTTCCCTTCATGTCAGTGGGGCTTAGCGGAAGCACGCTCATCTCCAAACCATGCCGCCCTATGACAGCATAGGCAAGTGGAATGATTTTGATGGTGTCTCCTGACCTCTCTCCTGTAGCAGCTGCCATTAAAGGAGCAGGCACTGAACATGTCTGGAGGAATGTGGCACAGAGTGCTAGAATACCTTGTTAGGAAACAGCAGAAAATATGAGTTTAAAGAAAAGAAAGAAATGGGAAAGGGAAGGTAAGGAAAGACGCAAAAGCAGGGAGGTGCCACCAGGAATGGAAATGGAATTCACTGCTGACTGCAAAGAATGATGAATGGGAGAATTTGCTTGTTGGCACAGGAATGTATTGTGGAAAAACAAAACAAACCAAAACTAATGGGACCAGGGCTTGATGTGTTAGAAACAAAAAGGATGACATGAAAAGCGTCACATTACCTAAATATTGTTGTGCCTTTGAACTGTTGGTTGCAGGGTCAGAGTTTTGATGAGGTTGTTTGTTTGTTTGTTTGTTTGCTATGTGGCTACTTGTGGTATCAAAACAATAAGACCAAGTATCTAGAATCAATCATGATGGAGAACTTCTTCCTTTACATCATTTCTCTCTCAGCTGCACTGGCTGCTCAGATCTCCCAGGAAGGAAGATAGATAGAAAATGTCCCTGAGGCATGCACTTTGCATTTATGACCATGCAGATAATGAAATATAAGAACTTGACTCTTGCACATGTAAACAACAGAGAGAATGTAAGTATTATCTGCACTGTATCAAACATGAAACTCCTGGCCTGACCAGATACCTGCTGTCTGTTCTGCATTAGCAAAACTTTGGTGCATAGTGTATGCTGTTCTTTCTCCATAATATAAAGACAAAATTTGCCTGCCAGCAGCAGAACTCGAGTATTAATACTAACAAAAAAGCACTTTAAAATAAATGTTAATATCCTCAAAGAATCAGAAAGTCTGCAGAGATCTCCTGTTGTTGCAACCAGTATGGCAATTAAAATTGTGAGTCACAATATTCAAGTTGGTAAAAAAGTATGTGGAACAACTGCTGAAATGATATTGACACCTGAGAAATAAATGTAAGTTTGAGTCACAAAATTCAAGTTGGTAAAAAAGTATGTGGAACAACTGCTGAAATGATATTGACACCTGAGAAATTTAAATGTAAGTACATACCTAACATAGGAAGGATTTTAGCAAAGACAATAGGTTACATTAAATGTTTTTCAGGACTTGAGTAACAGCACTTCATACTTCAAAAGATCAAATTATTACTCTCTCTGTAAAATAAGGGTGATTATAATGCCTTATCTCAAAAGGCTGGTAATTTTTCACAGTCCAAAGCCCCTTTAAAGTAACTGTTTGGCATAAAGGTCATTTAAAATGAGATTAGGGTCCATTCATGGTTTTGAGGTGCTCACATATTACAATATAAGTACAATATAGGTACTCAGATAAAAACACCAACAGAACTAGATAGAAATAGCTTTAAAGCACTGTGTCAAGGTATTTAAAGTTAGCTGGATAAATGTATCATTTTCACATTTAAATTATTCTATGGCATTCTAAACCCGTCAATAAAATTTGGATTCTGATGCTGATCAAAACCTCCTTGTGTTTTTCTTGTGTCATAATCCCATTCTAACAAGATGTAGACAAGAGATCCCCAGCTCCACTCTCCTTTTGAGCAAAGTGTAGCAAATGCATTCTGTCTCAGAATATTTAGAAAGCTGCAATACTGAAAACACATGACATTAATGTACAGGACATTTTTAATTAACAAAGCTCTTAGGTGTTGCTGAAAGATCCATTTTGCTTTTTGTCCCCCTCAGACTGACCTAACACACTCCAGAGCTTTTTATTTAGTTATACGGTGCAATTAGGACAAAGTTCTTCTGACATTTGGAAGCTTTAAAAAGAGCAAAATTATTGACAGGAACCATGGGAAACACAATGAGATTTTAACTGTTCTTACCTGAAGTAAGAACTTTCAAAGTTAAGAGGCAGAAACTTTACGCTGCTTCTTATATTATGTAATAGTTAATTCCTAAGAGTGTCCTCAGTTCCCCTAATTCTTTAACATTAGTGCATACTTGCATAAATTACTCCCCAAAGTAAGGTCTGATTCATGAAAGTACTCAGGAACTTGATTAACACCCTCCCCAATGATTTCAGGAAAATTTTACTTAGGTGCTTGAAATGCATAAACCTGAAATGACCTGAAATGTTCTTTATCTGCAATGCTGGCTGAAATCAGTGGGACCTGAAGGTTCTGAGCAGCTCTGAAAATCAGCCCTCAGTATTACTACTGCAATATATCTTTAATTTGTCTATACCTCCTCAAAAAACTTCTTTTAATTGTCACATCTGAATCAAAGCTCTGTACATACGTATACAGTAGTCTCCACTTTCATAATATCCAGGGCAGCACTGAGATCTTCGCCGATACATAGTTCTTAGTCCTCTTCGATATGCTGTTTTATAACTTATTCTAAATTGCAAGACAGAAAGCCATTTGACAATATTGAAAATCAATGCCTACTGTTGGAATTATATTTGTGTTAAATTATAGTAAGGATAGCATTCAATAATTATTTTAAAATGCATGAAAGCTTTTGATATTAAAAGCCACAATAAAAAAAAATCAATACTTGTTTTGAAACTTGAAATATAACTTGTATTATGAACACAGTACTCATGACAGTCAATCACTGTAGCCTTTCCTAGGACTGCTATCTTAAAACATTTCCCCAGTCCTAAAGCAAGTGCAAGGAGTTTCTTCAAGAATAAACAATTCATTTCTGCATATCAGCAAGGTCAGCTATCATCAATAGAATGAACAGAATCTTCTACAGAGACCACTGTGTCAGCGTGCTACACAAGAAATTACCACAATGGAAACTGCTCTCAATACACAAAATGTGAAGTTAACCCCAAGTGATTTCTTCCTGCTTGCTAACCCTTCCAAGACATTAATGCCTTGCAAAATGACATTATAGTCCCAGTTCAGTATTTAAAGCATGTTTTCCCCACCAGAATCTGTAGTGCACAGAAATTAAAACGTGTTAAGCATTCTGTAGCTTTTCTAGACTTATTCATAGCATTACCAATGATACCACATTAGAAAAGGAATATTTAATAGAGAACATTTAACAGCATTTCAGAACAGCTTTGTTCATGCTAGTTTATTTGAAATTACCTAAATTGAACAAAATCTATTGTCCCTCATGTTAGATAAACTGATTGCATTTACTCTGCTGCATTCCAGGCTACACAATAGTCCAGAAAGCTCTGCATCTCTGTTCAATTCCATACATCGTAACACAGAAGCTAAAAAGCAAAACCCCACAGTCAGACTGGGATGGTGCTGAACAACCTCTTTGCTACTGAATGCGTGAAAGTTAAGGTACCAAGTAGCTTGCTTAAACCCTCTTGAAAGATTGCAAATATTAGTGGATGTTTATTAGGATACTTTTCTATTTGGAATCAGAATGAATATAACAGCGATATCTTGCAGCCTGGGAAAAATTAACTGTTTAGTATTAGCTTTCACTCAGTGCTAGAAATGGACCCATCTTCATTTTACCTGATTTTCAATACAGATTTGGGTGCAGTATTTCAAATATAGATCCATTTATAACTATCACTAACCCTCAAGTGCCCGATTCTTCAAGATTTAGGAGCTGCAGGAACCTCCCACCATAAACCTGGATATGCACTGATCACTTGGAAAGGATAGTTGGTCATGTTTGGTCATGTAATAAAAACTTCCAGTCGCATGGCGGGGTGAATGGCAAGGATACATACTCCTGAATGGCCCCATAAGAGACTGACTACCATTGATCTCACTCAAATTCCATGCAAAAATCTCTCTAGTTCAATCAATGCCCTAGAATGCCAACCCCCCAGCTATTGTAGTAAAATATATCTTTCCGTACATATCTATATTAGAGTACCACAAAAATTTGGATAAATAAAAGTTATGCAAGGAGATAAAAAGGCAAAATAAAACTAAAATATCTGGGGATCAGCTCTTACCTATGTCTAGTGCACTTGAACCAGTTCAGTATGTCAGTACATCTTGTATAATAGATCTGATCAAAAGGATGAGCATAAGATTCCTGTACTGTCACAGCATAGCTAGGAGTAGACAAAGAAAGAAAGTGAAAGGGTGTTTGTTGCAACATGAAAAGCTTTAGTTCCCTGTATATGCTACTCATCTAACTCCATTATGAAAAATAATTAAATCAATAATCTTAAAACTTTGGGCATTATTGAAAACCAGAAAAGGGCTTCCTTCAAACACAGCTCTTCCTGAAAATTTTGGAAATGCGTCTAACTTGGGCTCCATAACTAAAATAGGCATAGAGATTTCAGTCTGAGTAATAAACCATTCCCTTCTGGAAAAGAAATAAATGTTACTAAAATTCATGGTAGTTTAGAAGGTGAAAAGGGTATTTGGTCAACTTGATAGTGCAAATTTTAAAAGAGAGGAAAGCACCATGTTTTAAAATGTCTCAGTTGCCTTCCTGCCTAGGACTGTTAATTTTTTGGCTTGTATTCCACAATGCTAATAAGATCTCATATTAACTTAGCACTGCTGCATTTTGCCAGCATGATGGGATGCTCACACTTCATTTTATGATGAAGCAGCATCATTACTTCAAATATTGGGTGCACCAATCAAATAGGATCATTTGTAAAAGGTTGAAGAGTGTTTATTTTTCTGCTGCACAAATTTAATCTTTTTAATTTGTAGCAGAAATAACCTCAGAACTATCTGAAAATTGTAACATGAGTTAACTGGTGTCTCGATATGGAACACTGACAATACAGTTAGAATGGGATTACCTCCCTTTGTACAAATGAATGGATATAAACAAAAACTGGGCAAATTGATCAGAAATCACAGAACTCCAACAATACTAAGAATTCAGCAATCTCCTTCCCAAAACACTACTTATTCATGCAACAGGTACTATATTAATTACTATGATTATACTGAAAGTGTCTGGGCCTCTCACATGATATAGCAACACAAATCTCATTGACTTGTTAGTGTCAGTCATTTTAGAACATTGTATTGCCCTACAGTAAGTGTGTGCACTGCTTAAGAGACTCATAATCTCCAGTTCTGATCTGGAAACAAGCACTACTTTATCAGATCTACAATACCTTTGGAGAATGATATTGAAATCATTCTAGGCAGGGTCAAGACCCCGGAATTAGATCCTCCAAGTCATTCATTATATTGATTGTCTTAATCATCCAAGCGATTTCTTTCTCATCAACGGGACTGCTGACATGATTAAGCCCTGAGAGATTGCACCCTTAAGGGAATACCAAAATATTTGCTTGGAGGGTCTGACTGGCTTGAAATCGAAGATTGGACTATTACTGCCCTGCTTGTCATGCCTCTTCTAGACAAGCCAAGATTCTACTAGATGTTGCTTTTGCCCTCTATCACAGTTTGCTGGGTTTGACAATAATGTTTTTACTTCTACTAATGCCAAAATGTAAAGTATTTACATTGCTTATTATTAATGTAAAACAGTAACACAAATCTTTATTATTATTTTATGATCCCGTTATTTATCCAGCAATTGCCCTAACAATCTTTTCCCTTTGATTTATTAACATCTAAGTAACAAAGTCATCTTGGTCAGTACAACCAATCAATTTTGGTATTTAATTTTTGTTTCTCCTTGATTGGGTCTCTAGGTTGCTGACTTTCTTCAGACAAAATCAATATTTTATTCCTGTGCTCTGAATGCACTTCACCTCACAACACAGACTGCAAAATCCTATTCCTGTACAGTCTTTGCTTTGCAGCTGCATTACCTACAAAGAGTTAGTTCTCTAATTAAGGCCTCTAAAGTCAAAACATAATGCCATTAAAGTATGATTCCATTTTTGCTCTTGTTAAGGGGTTTATTTTGCTGAAGTGTACAGTAATTCATATTTGTGTGGAAATAAACCACAGAACAGAACTGGAAATTTAGCAAGTTAAACTTAAGAGTACAGGAACTTTAGCCTCTGCAAACAGACCCTGCATGAATGTGAACCCTATCAAAGCTAGTGGGTTTCTATGTACTCATAAGAACTGTCTTGCACAGATCCACTTTTAGGACAAAGACACTGTAACAACAGAGAGAACAGAATTACCAGGGCCTTTAATTCTCAGTGCTTTCATGCAGATACTCTTTGATGCTGACACGAATTTGGCAGATACAGCCACAAAGTTCAGGCCATACAGAATAAGCCTGCATGTTGCAGCAGGAAGGGCTTAAAACTTAGTTGAAATCTCTAATAGTCTTGCTTGACAACAACCAGAAAAAAGCAAGACAGAACAAGGCCACCATTTCTCTAGGTCTCTCCGTGATAAATGAAAATACGCTTGTGCAGTCCTCTAGCTGAAACTGTGGAGGAGCTTTCCAAAGTACAGCTGAGCAGAGAGGAAACACAGGGGTATGTGGTCTATAGCCCTAGCTTTAGAACCAATTCTTTGGGATGATCCAAATCCTCAAAGGCACTCAGAAGTGCTATTTCTGTCATGCAAATCCATGAGGCAGGGTGGTATTTAGCAAATGATGGCTCTTATTTTGCCTTTTAAATATGAAAACCTGAGTCGGCTAGCCAAAAAAAAAAAATTGGCATGTTATACATTACCTTTCCCAATGACTACAAACATTTGGATCATCTGGGTTTAGGGACAGAGTAGTTTTGAGCAGAAAAGACAGAATAAGCCCTTTTAGAATCCACCTGAACAGCATATGTGCCACCATTGTTGTATCTAGATAAAGAAAAGAAAGTATAGCCATTAAAGACAATTTTGAAAAAAACATCCTTCTAGGCCTTTTCATCCTTGCTTTTGTGCAAATCCAAATACTGTGGAGTTATTTACAAACTGAAATACTTGAAATAGCAATCAACTAAACAGTAAAATTTTAAAAACTGCAAATGCATTCCAAAAGGAATTTATACATTTAAACCTACTAAAACCGATGAATTTGATGATTAAGCTACCCAAGATATTGATAGCCCAAATGATTCTTCCAAAGAACATTTCTGATACTGATCATTTTTATGGCTGGCTGGCTGTACCAACAAAATAAATAACTGAGGTATGAAAACAATCTATTCTCCCATCAACCTATAGGCAAATGGAAGAATACCCAAATACCCCCTTTGATTTATTTAAGTGGGTTTTACATGTGTCAGTATAGTAGGCTAGACCTGAGACATATGCTTATTACACGACTGAAGGCAAATCAATTCACTTTTCAACTCTTAGATAGGGGGATCACTTAGAATGACAGAGATCAACATATTGGATCACATTATGCAGAACACTAAACATGAAATAAAAATATTGGCATTGAAGTTGGAAATAGATTGTATAAAACTCATTAGGTGTGGTCTCTTCATGATCTTACAGTTCATCTATTAAATGTACTACTTATACCTATTTATTGCTCATTTGGGGCTTTGAAACCAAAGTCGTGGTGTTTGCCTAGAGGTCTCCAATGACATCAGTCAAAAATACAAAATAGATAGGAAATACAAAGCTGCTTTTAAATGTAACTGCATCAGAGGTGTTAATCTGTTAAACATTAAGTCAGTAAAAAGTATTTTTAAATATCCATTTCAGGCATTTACATCGTCATATAATCCACCATTCAAATCAAAAGTCCCATAAATTATTCCTGGCAACAAGACTGCCCTAAAAATAGATTGAATCTTCATATGATCATCTAAAAAACACATGGCTCATTGCCTCATGGACCAGAACAGCAAAAGGGATGTTAAGGGGTTTACTCTGCATGGCACTGATATAAAGCCCAGCATAAAGAAGTCATCACAAAGCAGAATGAACAGCAGAGGGATAGCCAGGAAAGCTGATCTGAAATGACCTGCTTCAAAGCCTTCTAAGCTAGTTCAAGGACACCCATTGCCTTTAGTGGATTCGAAGTCAAGATCCCAATGGGAGTAATAGCTCATCTTTTAAATTATTCCTAGAGCTCTGCTAAACACAAAGATAGGTCTTAAGCCATGTAAGTCATATTAATGTTAATTAACATCATTTAATGTTCCTCATGAAATGGATTTAAGTCTATCAGTGACCATTCTCTACCTGCGGGCTGTTTCAAATTCCCATGGCAACAATGCAACAGCTTAGTCTGGAAATTAAGATGACTGACGAGAAAAGGACATGAGAGAGAGTTGTGTTTATTGAAAAGACATTCACTGCACTTGTCCTAGACACTACTTCTCCGTAGAGGAAAAGTGTCTTGAGTGGCTGACCTGCAAGTGCTCACGGGACAAAAGTCCAACAAACCTAACGTTCAAAAACTGAGAGCTTGTTTGAAAGTAGAATTGAGCTTTGTTTTAACATAACATGTACCAATAGATGTGAACTATTGTTCACACCAAGTGTGAGGCTCAACAAAATGACAGACAAAAATATCTTCAAAAGATGCCTTTAACGTATTACACCAAAATTACAGAGAACAAGTTTTACTGAGCACTGTATTTACAGGTTGCAATTTACCCCCTTTGTTCATTCTCTACACCTTTGGTACATGGCAACACTGAACAAATAGGACTAGAGGAAAGCCTGCTTCTAATCAACAGAAATGGTCAAAGGAAGAGCAAGGCAAAACTGCTTAAGGAAATACAGTCCTTAAGAGAGGGGGGGGTTAAATTAAAACACAGTTCTGTGCTCAGTTTGATAACTTCTTGAGAACATCAAGAGCCTGGATTTATCCCTAAATTAGTTAAAGGCAGAAAGACAGCCTGTCTTCAACCTAAAGAGAATGAGCCTTTTCTCATTTAGCTAAAGCAGCCCGCTATTTGAATTCTGTAGTTCTCAGAGATCTCAATTTGTTCTTAAGAAAACAATGTATCAGTTTAGTTTTTAAACCAAATAAACACCAAAATAATTATTTATAAGCCTTAATAGCATGCAGAATATTTTTTTACAGTGTATTTGAAAGAGGTTCAAAATTGTTTTCTAAACCTTTAATGCTAATGGTATTTTATTATCTGTTTATAAATTAACTGCTTTGTGCAATTAATTTTATAACTTTGTAAGTCAGATCTAATAACAGAAACATCCAACTCTCCAAATACAGCAGAAGCTCATTCATCTCAAGTGTCTCTTTTTCCAACGCAAATGAAATATTTCACTTTGATCACTGTTAATAGAAAAGACCTCATACTAAAATGGAATGGTTGCTATTACAAGATTCAGAATAAAACTCTAAAAATAGGAGGACATATATTAAAAACCAACATCAAAAAAGAATCCAGTAATGACATCTAATATGGTTTTTTTTTCAGCTTTTATTGCTCAGCATAATATATACTAGATTCCTGCATTGCGTTTAATGTTTGGAACATATTCTCCCAATGAAGCAAGCATCAGCCTTTCAGGGGGACAATGCCTGTAACTTCATTAAAGATAGAGCCAAATTATATAAACATTTCCAGTGTCTGCCACAGCCACTCTCCTGAGGATAGGCAGCCTTTTGAGCTTAACAAGAAAATAAATGACACATAGGTCCTCTGTGCAATCCCTAAATGGACTCTAATTTTTTGTCTCTCCAGGCCTGATTTTTCTTTTCAGGAGTGAAAGAAGCCAATTTAGGTACAATTTGGCAAGAAAGAGGGTCTTTCAATCCAAAATACAATCTGGTGATTTTTCACAAGTGTCTCACTCTCTGTTAATTATAACTGATTACGTTAGGTATCTGTTATTCATTAAGCCATTTTCACATACCTTGCTCCCTCCTTTTTGAATAAATTTCAGTACTTCACCTACAATATTGATACAGGTCACTGGTTCCATCACAAAAGAAAGGAAACACACTTTCACTGTTAAGCCCCAAATCTTAGCTATAGAGAAACTAGTAGGTGGCAAGTCATTGATTTATTTGTCTGTGGATTCATTTTACAAAAACCTTTGTTGAGGAAACTGTGCTGGGGTTTGCAAAGAGACCAGAAGATGCAGATGATCATTTAAATTAGATGAAATACATGAGAGTGTGAACAAAAGCTGGTTGTTACTCCCTTTTGCAGTTTATACGACAGAAGCTGAGGACAACAGTACCCCACAAGATTGGGACCTACATGCGAAGAAAATAAGACCCCAAAGAATCCTTGCTTGGTGAAGCAAATATCCTCTAAAGCTTTCTCTAGGTGCTGAGGACCTGGCTTTGGTAATAGTCTTGTGAAAGAGGACTAGTGTATACTTTAAGTGGCTGGGAAAAAAAAGGAAAACAAAACCACAGATTAAATTTCTCCTCTGCTTCCTTGGCTGACAGACTAGAAAATTTAACTAAAAGTGACCATTAGAGAACTTGCTGTTTAGGAGCAGAAGTAGTGAAACATTTCATTTTGACACTTCTGTCATAAAATATTTCATAACATGACTTTGACATGAAATTCAAACAGAATTTCCAGTCCATGACAAAGTTCTAAATTGAATGCTTTTGTCTCAATTTGGGATGAAATGAGTTCTGAACCAGGCAAAAAACTAATTTGGTATCCAGCTGTAATTAGGGAAAACATTTACAGAAGTGTCTTTCACTAGCATGCAATATTCTTAAAACCTTATATACTTTTGAAGATCATTCCTTTAGATGTCTAAATGTATATGCAGTCGATTAACCTAGCCTGAATTTTTCCCACAAACTTCCATGCAATGCATTTAACAAAGAGCCACGTTAAAAAGTCTTACCTCAAAGTGCTAAAAATGCCTAATGGATCCTGTTTTTATAGACTATCAGCACATGAAGACACACAGCACATTAACAGGATAGCAGAAGAACGCTCTTCAGAAGTTGCTTGGCCCTGTGACCAATCAATTAGAAAAACAGAAAACATATTGGGTCAAAGAAAGTGTGTTTGGGGGAGTGGAAATAAATTAAGACAGAAATGAGAAAAAACATTCTAAATAATTACATATCATAAGATAATTGTGCTATATCAGACCAAAGACAACTATCCTGCTTTCAGCCAATAGCAAATGTCTAGGAAAGAGCGTAAGATGGTGGCTGATAGCAATACATCCCTTTTATACCCTTCTAGCCTCCAGCAATTTGCAACTTTGTGACTTCCTTAGCCATGACTAGTATCTTTGCGTTTGATAGCATTTAGTGGATTCTATTCCAGTAATTTGTCTAACTATTTTTGATCTGTTAAAATATAAATTTCAGTCCCCTAAATTTAAATTTTAGTGTCAACAACATCCTGTGATGGTCTCACATCTTAGCCATGTACTGTATGAAATACTTCCTTTGTTTTCCTGTCTGCCTCCTCTATTTCATTTGATACCTCCTTGCTCCTCTGTTAGAAATCAATCATTGATTCTCAGACTTTGTTTCCTATCATTTCTTATCATATAAACAACATTTTGTTTACATATAGACTTTTTCTTCTGTTATATCCCAACAAGAAAGTTCGGTGAAAGTTTGATGAAAGACCTTGCAAAAGCCTTCTGGAAATCTAACTGGATCTTCTTGGTCCATCTGTATACTTCAAAGAGCTTTAACAATTTATGAAGCCTTTACAAAGCCATGTTGATTCTTCATAAATGTATTATATTTATCAAGAGGTTCCCTAATTCTGGTCTTAATTATTGTTTCTACCAAATAGGAAAATCTAGGTGCATCAAAATTAGAATGTATTCTAGTATTCGTATGTGAGCGATTAAGGAAAATGCAAGAGAACAGTTAAGCCAGAAAACAAAAAGTTGGATTTCACTGAAGAAGCATTAAAGTGACTGAGTGTTTGCTGATTACGCTATTTTAGTCTCTAAGTAGTAGCAAGCTTCCAACAAGCTGCCCTCTGTGGCATTCCTCCTTCTCATCCCATCTGAAATTTTCATGATAGTTTAGGCAAGGGATCATTTAAACACACACTTCATTTGGCTCTACATCAGATTTTGTTAGAAACAAGCTGTTATGAAAGCTAAATGAGGCCATGAGTTTCAAAACTGATCAGGATTTTTTGGATGCCTCCATTTATGATTAATAACTTGAGATACCATGAAAGGGCTGAATAATATGCAGACCTCAGAATGCATGCTAAGAAACAGGTCATTTTAATCTAGGCAGTCAAGAACTAAGCCATTCAAACTCAGTAGTCACCTTTAAAAATTGTTGCCATGACCAACAGAAATATTGCCAATGACAGGTTGTGGTTTTGTTTTGTTTTTAATGAAAATTTAAAGCTGTTTCAAACAGATAAACACTTCCAGGAAGGATCAGGTACTGAATAAAAAGCACTGACAATGTGATTCTTATCATCTGAGCACAGAAAAATTCAAGTGATAGAAGAACTAGCAGAAACACCAGACTATGCACTGGGATGCTGGGTTGCCTCTACTGACATTTTACACGATTAATGCGGGAAGACAGTAGACAAGAAGCTGCCTGTTAACAAAAGATGATATTTCAGTTAACAGGGTCTATCTAACCCTCTAGGAGTCATTTTACTGAGGGCAAATTATTATCCCTTACATGCAGGGCAAAATAACTGGTCTATAATTCGTACTACAAACCCCATGTTGTCAGTCATTTATTCAGCTTTTCCATGGTCTCCTTAAGCACTGCTCTCTTTAAGGTTTGTGTGCATCTCTGCCTGTGATTTCAAGAAGGTAGTTCAATAGCTGGAAATACTTGGAGTAGATACAGAAGTCACGACTATTCACAAATATCCCTGATACCATTTCCAAACACAAGTCTCCTGTCACCTGGAGGTGACATAGACAAGGGGAGAAACAGAGCTGACCAGGACAGCACAACTGCTTTTGACTTTCCACAGGTTTCCTTCACAGTATCCTGTGAAGGCTCACGGCACAGGACCAGTTCGTACAGTTCAGTTCCTTGAAGAGGCCAATCCCAGCAGTGGCACAAGCTAGGAACAGACCGACAAGATGTACAAAACTGGACCTTTCTTACCTTACAGTTGAGTTCATACAATGGAGACAAGCTTGTCCCAACTCTGTCCTTCTAGCCATAAAGGTAATGCCAATAAACATAAGCAGGAACCTTAACTTTTCAGGATAAACTATTCTATGTTCTCTATGAAAGCTGACCATGCACCTCTGCTGCTGAACCAAAGTTCATGCCTGAATTTACAGTGAATGTTGGGAATGAAACAAATTAAACAATTCTATGGTATTTTCTGTAATTAACATGACTTGGGAAATAAAAGAATAAAAGCAAAATTTAGAGATTTTCACAGTTTATGGGGAAGTCATCAAGGAAATTATGAAGAGCTACATCTTGAGTCCTGTTTGCTTAGTCTTAGCAGCAGCCACCTCTGCTACATCATTCAGTGAAGTAGGTGCTGTTCAGTACAAATAAAGGAACCAATGCCATTTCCCAAGACGTAATTTCAGAGGCTTTCTTTTAAAGACTGGATAAATGCACCGGGGTCCTAAATGCTAGGGTGCCCTCATGACTCTCCCTTATATTCTTTGAACCAGAGTCGCTCAGTTTTCTAAAACTGGGTGGGGGGCTGATTTTAATGGGAACCAAATGTCCAAACCTTTTAAGTTGCTTTAAATGTCTAAGCTCTAAAATATATCAGTGTGAGTTCCAATTGCTACACTGAACATTATTACAGTTCCATGGATAACTTATGAAGTCTGAAGGTTTGCTTCAGTGCTAAGCACTCTTATAAAGCTGACTTCCACTGGAGTCATTGGGAGCTTGGCTAGAGCAAAGCAGGAATAAATAATGAAGTACGCTCTTTTCAATCTATCAAGTGTTATTTTTGGAAACTCAGGATTGTTCCTTCAGTGCTCTCAGAGGAAAACTGGGTCGAAGTACCACAGAGACATGCCACTAGGCAAGCAATCTAGGCAATGAGTTTAGTTATGGGTGATGAAATATGTTCATCAAGACAAAGGCTGGTGTATTTGTCTAGGATTCAGAGGACCTGAGTTTAAATCATACTGTCAAAGACTTAAGGCGTGACACTGGGTTAACAAAGTGGGCTAGACTGAGGTAGCTCGAATTCCACCCAAGTTCTGCATCTAGTATTTTCTGTAGGCTAGCTCTGAGCCTTCAGAGGCACCTAACCACCATACAACACAGGGCTTTGAAACTTCAGGTGAATTTTAGGACATGAAAATTTTCAAAGTCTCAGTTTCTTCCACAGGAAAGAGGGGAAGAGGACTGACAAACCTGCCAGGGGCTTTAAGAATAAGCATATTACAAACTGAAAAGTGATTAGATACTGAATTTCAATGTATAAACACATTTGGCATTATCCATCCACTGTATGAGATCAACATCAACACACAAAGAAACGCAGACACTCCTATTTTATCAGTACTTACACAAACTCAATATCCATGCACGCTTGTGCAAAGCACAAGTACCAATCCAAAAAGCTATTATTCATTACAATACTAAATTTCTTTTTCTTAAATAATTGAATAGTTAATCAATAGTCCAGCAGAAATATAATGAAAATATTACATTAACAACACCTAAAAACATTGCTGAAACAGTGCCCAAATCCAGATAATTGCTGGCTCCTTTTCAGAAAGGTCAGCTTGGAAAAAAATTATCTGTGATTTTCTGCCCATAATTTTGTACTTATACTCAACTACCAGTGTAAAATTGGAAGCCAGCCCTTTGAACATTTGGCCCTCTAAGTTATTAATCCAAACTCAAGTCCACTGAAATGCTAGTGTTCCTTCTAGCGCCTAAGCCCTGAACTGATCTTCCAAGCCTTGCCAGTTAGGACAGAGAGATGGCTGACATTCCACTGGCACTTTCTGCCATAAGCAAGTTGGTGTCGACAGGCTTTGAAGGCAAAATCCGGGTACCCTGCAGTATTTCAACAGAAGATGACCTCCTGCAAGCTAAGAAATCCTCCTGGGGCAGTCATCTCTGAACCTTCTCAATTAAAACATGATAAATAAGGAAAGTCAGAAAGAGCCACTTTATGCATTTGCCTGCTTAACCCTCCTACCCTGATCTCACCATCTGACCGTTGCCGTAAGGGGATGGCAGAGGAAGCCAGCCGGTGCTGCAGTGTCCCCCATACCGATCCCAGTCTTTTTGCACAGTGGAATTTTAAAGCTGCTGAAATTGTGTGGGGAGTCACATTCTCTACTGATTTAACAGTATATTTATATTCACTATCCCATGCATATTTCAGATATTCCTTCACATATATTACTTCAGAAGAGAAAGTAAGCTGGCACACATCAAAAAGCTGATCTCCTGAGAACTCAAGTTAGCTTGCTTACACATAGCCACCCACCTAATCCATGTTCAAGATGTCAAACAATTACAACATATGCTTCCTTAGACACTTAGACCAACAAAGACCTTGTATCCCTAGAACACCCAGGATAAATAAAGCAAATTAAGTGTTACAGGCATGCCCAGATGAGGAATAATATGTTTCTAAGTATTTAGCTAAAAAACCCCAACCATTTATCCCAACAGAATTTTTTTACAGCATTTAAAGAGTGCATGTGAAGCTGGTCTGAAAATGGGAGTAACAAGCAATGAAATATAAGGATGTTCAACATATATGCAGTGAAATAAATTAAGTATGATTCTGTGAAAGTGCTGTGAAAGTCAGTGAAAAAAGCACTGTTTGAAAATGTAGAATATCCTTTACAGTTATATTTTTAAAAATTACTTCTATTTGTCAAGAACAATTGGCCCCTTCTTTTTGTCTTCATTTATCTCAGAGGAAAATAAAATGAAACAAACAGCAAAAAAGTCCCAAGTACAGTGAACAGCTGAGCCAGGGACAAATTAAGTAACACAGATTGATGGCTGTTGATCTACAGCAGTACTATCACATCCCAATGCTACATCTCATA